TTTGGTTGATTTTTTAAACATTTTCTGGGCCTCTTGAATCTAACATTCCAATTTCAGCAGTTTCATTATCTGCAGTTGAATGTTGGAATGTAACCCTCATGAGTAACAAGATCCACCTATATTACAACACTACCTTTGTTTGGATTTTCTTTGATACTTGATATTCTTTTCTTTCCTTACAAAGGAAGAGATTAATTTTCACTCTGTTGAGGTTACAATGGGTTTTTTGTTTGCTATAATTTAACACATATGCCAGCTGCACAGTAACTATAACGCAGAAGCATATGAACTGATGCAGATACATCAAAAGTAGACAGCTTTGATAAGATTAAGAAAATATGCAAATCTAGTATGATGCTTTGACAGTAGTACCCATGCAGGTTTATGTAATTCTGTATTTATGTAACTATTTCTATAACCATGAACTCTTTATATATCACTACATTTTGTCCCACTATCAAGTATGTTGTATACCACTGAACACTGTAATAACTGTGGCAGATCATGTAATTAAAATGGTCATTTGTAAAAAGTATAGCCCTAATCCTAAATTACTGTATTCCCATGGTCAAATCACTGATCACTCTATCAAAAAGACTGGGTTAGTTTGGCATGCTTTATTCATGACAGACCAATGCTGGCTCCTGTGAAGCAATGCATTTTTTTCTAAATGCTCACAGTCTGCTTAGCAATCTGTTTCAGAATTTTGCCCAGTATCAACAACAGTCTGCAGTTGTCAAACCCAGCTAGCAAAACTAAGGAAGCAAGAACAACATGGATTTCAGGCCGGCATCATTAATGCTAGCCTGGAATAAATACTGTACAGAATCTTAAAAACTGTTAAGAGTAAATTCCCACCCTCCGTTATAGTAGGCTAATTAAAAGGAAATATATTTCAAATGCTTTCTTCCCAAATCTTTCCCATCCAAACTGTGTTACCTCTTCTCAGGTAAATGAAATGCTTCGTCCCCTGGTTTCCCACAAATTCTCACACCAGTTAGCTGGAGCCTCTTTTTTTTTTCTTTTTTGAAGACAAAAACAACCCTTCCCTTCTTTGTTATGCCCATCAACCATGAAAGGGCTCTGGGATGGCATCTGTAAGTATCTTGAAAATTCTCGGATGTAATGGGTCTGGTCCTGGAGAACTGAGGTGTTCATAGTAATCAGCTGCTCACTAACCATCTCTTTTCTTGAGTTACTTTTTTTGTCAATTGTTCTGCTGAGGTAAATTTGAACATAGTTCCTCTTTGGCAGGAAGACTAAAGACAAGTCAGTCAAGGAGATCTAACCTCTCCCCATTATCTCTTACTGTCCAATACTCATCCTAACATTGGCCTGCCCCCTTCTTCCTTTTACTGATGACAGATCCAAACAAGCCCATTTTGTTGCTTTTAGTTTCCCCTGCAAACTGAAATTATTTTTGTGTTTTACCCTCTCTAACTATCTTTACCCTCTCTAACTATAGATTTTACCCTCTCTAACTATAGATATAGCTCCTTGCTGGTACACTCCTTGGTGATTCACCCATCTTCCCTTTCCTATACATCTTAACTCAGTCAAAAGCTACCTATGCTACCCATAGATTTCCTAAGCTGCCCCCTATTTTTTTCCTCATTGAAACTGAGTACTCTATTGTACTTCCAATATCTTATTTTCAAGTTGTTCCCAACCCATGTGTACTTCCTTTGACCTGACAATTTCTGCCCATGGGAACCTACCAAACACCTTCACTTTCAATCTTCTCTTGCCAGGAGTCCCTCAACCTGGAAAAGTGTCCCATTATTTAAGAATCCAAATCATTTCCATTGGCATCATCTTGTGATGGAGGACTTGGATGAGGAGGTTCAAGGACAGAAGCATTTCCTCAGCCCATAGCCTGAGCCTGGGAAAGCGAAGAGGATGAGACTGGCACCACCCTAAGGAATTTGGAGTGTTTAGTTG